GAGTGAGAGAGGGGGAGATATAGATCGCGCAGATTAAAGGCGACGAAAACAACCTCATCAAACGCCGTGAATCGGCCTCGAAACTCTTAACACTAGCTTTTATCAAACATTTATCGAAATCAAAATAAAATCGAATTTAAACTCGATTTCGTAAATGTTCGATAAATTCTCTAAAAATGTTAAGAATTTCGTGAGCGATTCGCGGTGTGTGGGAATGTTTAGGTCGTCGCACTTCATATCCCTTCCTTTTCTCTTTCTCTCACACACGTTCTACATGCTCACACGTATATTGTTAGTTTTTTTTCGCATTCTTCCAAGTCGGAATCGGCGTGACTTTGCCTTTGATATTGCCCCTTATCATTCGCACGGCGGTACTTGTACGAGGTAGATCGCGTTCCGTATCGGCGTATTATCTTCTTTAAAAGTATCCTTATACTACACTTACCACAGCAAGTGTCGAACGTGAGTGATCCATGCGATGATATTAGAATTTCACTTTCCCCGAACGACAAAGTACGCGTCGAGAGTGTCGTTTAAAACATCGTGCGATCTACGAATTCGTAACGCGAACGCGTGTGAGTGGCTTAAAGACAACAAAGAAGATTGAGAGGAGGAGGAGGCTCAGGAAAGGCATCGAGCACCGGCGGAGCAACTTTAGGGTGAGTAGTTATTTAACTATTATCTGTAATTTGCAAAATATTGCACGTAAAATATCAAGTAACGCACATAGAAACTTTGAAATAAAATTTTTTTGTAAAAGATTTGCAATTTTTAATATTTATGATTATTAGATATAAACATATAATTCCTTTATTAGATATTTGCATAAAAGATGAGTAAAAGTTTAATGTGCGTAATAATTATTTCTTAAATAATTATTTTGAACGCTACTATAATTTATGTATTTTCTTACAGATTAACATGGCGTATAACAACTCCGCTGCTGCGCATCGTGCCGGTGAGTCGATCCTATTTATTTTATTTTAATATTATTAAAAAAATATATTTAAAAATAATGTAAAATATAAGAGGTGTCTTACAGACTAGCCATATATTACCCGTTAATAATAGAAGAGAGGTTATTTGGAGATAAAAATATTTATACGAAAATGTCGCATTTAAAAATTATCGTAGCTTCGACATTTTGGTTATGAAGATTTTCGTCTTCAAATGACCTCAGAAATCTGCTATTAATGCGTGATGCAATTGATTAGGTCCCTTTTAAAATACAAATTTTTATTGAATTTTAATTTTATTTTTTAAACAAATTTATTTTCTTTGATATTAGAAAAATTGAACATTATATTCTGACGCACTTTTAATATTGAGTAATTAATTTTATTATTTCTCACTTTTTAAATGCACCACGTTGCAAAGTTATTGCACGGTTTATTTACACGTATTTGCCTGGCTTTCTAAAAACAAATTGCACAATGTAGGACAGCACTGTAAAAGATTAAAATTTAATTAAAACTGCTCTAAAATTACGTAAAGAATTTTATTTCTAACAAGAATGAGGTCGAGTTTGTTATTTTCAATTTTTAGAGAAGAAATATATGAAAAGTATAAAGAAATATGATTGCAAATTTGTTGGAAACAAATGAAAAGTCAAAAGAAATGCAAGAGTTTTTCTTTAAAACATGTTATTAATTTTCTACACATGAGATCCACATCTCCAAATCCATACATTCGCCTTCTTTTCCCACATGTCCCTCAAAAAGACTTTGTCTTGTACACATATACACATATTTTTTCGCCGTAACATTTAAAAATGCACTATTTGCAACGTTTTGCAAATATGCTACGTATTAGGCTTTCATTATGGTGGATGCGTGGGCGTGCAAGCAACGTTAAATCAAATTACTGCTACTCATCTATCAATCGGAATTTATAATTGACAATTGATAACTCTGAAAAAATTATTAATGTGATTAATAACATATTCATTACATACATATATATATTTAAAAGATATAAAATAATAATATCCAACAATATTAACCGCAAATTAATGTCATATGGCAATCTCATGACAAATTAGTCTCTTTATTAGATACGGCCGATCTATGAAACCACATTGCAATAAATATAATTATACAACTCATTTTCGCCGCATGCTTGTAACCACACATCCAAGATAACCACAATTTCTCTCGTAATCCAAGATAACCACATCCAAGATAACCACAATTTTTCTCGTAACTCAATATTAATCTAAAATCTACGAAAATCACGCGCCCGTAAAACTTACGATAAATTCTTTCGATCGCGCTATTGTCATTAAAATACTACGTGTTTCTGTTCCATTGAGAATGTCCATTTTTCTGAAACCCATTTTAGACAATCAGTAATTCGAGACATATCAAATATATGACATAAAATATTTATATATTTAATATATCTTGTATCTTTCATGTCGAAAGTTTTCTTCAAATAATTTTGTATTCAAATATTTCTATCGCGAATTATAGATCGTCCAAAAACAGCTTTATTCCATTTTTCTTTCCTCACGAGAAAGTCGCTTTAATTGTTCGCAGTAGCCGCTTTAATGCCGGGAACGTCCCGTAAACATCGATTTACAATGTTGCACATTACGTTACATTAGGAGAATACTAGCCGCCTTTATATGTAGCCTAACACATACGTGATATACGAATGGATCGAGCTAGCGAACGATTTCGTAGCAATTTCATATCCCAACGATCATAAAAATAGTGAAGAAACAAGAAAAAACGAGATCTGTGTAAATCTGTTGTGGTCGACTTTTATTTATATGTGAGGAAAAATATATTTTTCTTCTATTTTCTATATTATTTTTAAAAATGGATTTTATAGCCAAAGCTTTTTAAAATCAGTCTTACAAATTATAGACTTAATTATACATTTATCTCGTGTTTTAATCTAATTTGCTTTTTTCTCTATTTACAGCTTGATAAATTAATCTTACCGAAATTACAAATATTGCAATCCAATTTAAATTTGCCAATATTATTATCAGATACGATTTGCAATCGCTATAAAAGAAAAAATTGCATCCGCGATATCGTTCATGCTCGATCACACTTACGTTTAGTGATTGTTCTGCACTGTGAAGTATATATGATTATATACGTGTATATACGTATATACATCTTCTTTGATTCGCCAGTCAACGCTTTAAACAAAGATTAAAGAGAGAACAAAGTTAGAAAAAGAAGGATAAAAAAACGAGAAACACAGGACTAGATAATGGGCGATATCGCATCAACGAAAATAATGCGCGTTTTCCGCTATTTTTTAAATTTTTTCAAAAATTGAAAAGCCTAAAATAGTATCGAATATTCGCTATATTTATATTTTAACAAATAATCAATATGTAATAAATTATAACCAATATACAATATATCAATGAGCAACAAGCAACGAAACAGCAACTCTCTTACATTCTATTGCTGTATATATAAATATACTGCGCGTGTATATGTATGTATATATATATATATATATATATATATATATATATATATATATATAATATATTATATATACATATAATATTCTGCTTCATTCTTTGGCATTTTAGCGATTCTCTTTTAACAAAGTGCCTTCGTAAAGTCTATCTACTTCGATAAAACGATTTGTCTTACGGTAATGTGATGATACGCTTTAACATTTATACACGAAATTACTCGATCTAAACAAATTACGCAGATTCGTATTTACAATGATACATCGTTAAACGCTAAGATGTCGTTATTATACATCCCTTTGATTATAACGAAACACGCCGCCGCAGCGCGATTATGTACAAAGTGATCCCCTAAACGAGTAAAACGGCTTTATCTCCTGCTTTACAGCTCTTCTTCTTGGTCTCCTGTCTCGTTTCTTCGTTTCTCTTTTTTTCACTTCTCGACCAATCGAGGAGCAACGTCTACAGAATGTACCAGGTCACTAGATCCTTTTAAACTAATCCATTGTATGCTTTTCTTAAAAGTTTCTTCAGTCAATTTCGAGGCAATTTCTCTTTTTCACAGAAATTTCCGAGACGTATGTAGTTCTTGCTTAATTTTAGGCCAATTGTTTGGAAATTTTTAGAATAATTGTTAATATATTTTTATGTATAATTAATTTATATATTATAAAATGGAAATCATTAATAATCATGTTGTTTGATGAAAATTTTAATTTGTTATTATCACAAAAATGTGCATTGCCAATCATGACGAAATACAAGTTCGCGCACGAATCGATTGTTGGTTCGAAAGTTCATTCCGATGTTATCGGAACGCTGCTAAAATATTACTGTTGAATCGAAACATCAATCTGCCAACGGACAGGAGCCTTATTTACGGACCTGATAGAACGCTACCGGAGCAGAAATAGATCTCTGGGGACGAGCGGCGAGTGTGTCCCTTAAAATAGGTCGGCCGCAGGACGAAACAGACACGAGCATGGTGTGCATACTCTCTTTGGGACGATGAACTTCTCTCTTGCAAATTGTCCGTACCGAGTACTTGCTATTTACGATTACTTGGTACAAATATACAGCATCGTACGTTTCTGATTCTAACTTTAATGACAAGATTTGAAAATTTTTTTACGAATTCAGAGCGATATAAATTTCTTGTAAATTTTCTCAATTTCTTAATTTTGCCAAGAAATTCTTTGATAAACATCACGAGCAATCTTTGTTTTAATATGACAAATTCTTTAGATGTGTGATGTGACATGTGCGCTATAAAATTAAACAATCTTGAGACCAAATTTCCTTTATATTTTCCAAGTCTTATCCGGAAGAGACAGCCAGAAAGGAGACCGAAGACGTGGTCACAATAGTGAATATAGCCTTAACTCCACGATGTTAGGTTGATCAAAAAATTCTTTCATTTTTTGTTTCATAAGTGTAACAAATTGTTAAAATGTTTACAAAAACAATTAATTTTTTCAAATTGAAATTTTTGAAATGAAATGGATTTCCTTAAATTAAATATTTTTATAAAGGAAAAATATTGTTACCTATATTATTTTAATATTGAATTATTAAACGTTTTTATTTAAAAAACAAAACGAATGAAATTTTGGATCAACCTGATATTTTTGATAGAATTTATCTATCCTACCTGTATGCCACTGCCTTATTTTTCCTATTCAGAAGACACTTGGAGAAGTAGTCCGTTATTTTCACACTTTACATCAGATGGCGTAATCCATCGCGTGATCCATCGCGTATTTAAATACACGCCTCGATGTGCACGTTGGTCATCTCGCTGTTACGTAGCTGATTGTTGACGTGCAGCTCGGAAGAAGCGTTGCTGTGCACGAGATCCTGCTTGCGATGTACTTGACGCAGATCATGCACCGGTCCGATCGCACGGCAGCAACTCTCGAGGGTCTTGCAAAACGCCGCGCGAAATTCGCGGTTGAAGTAAGCGTAGATGACCGGATTCAGGGCGCTATTGAAATAGCCCACCCAGAACACAGTTGCCACTACTAGTTGGCCGCCGCTACCGCACGAGTCGCACAGCGTCGTGATAATGTACCTGCGTCAAATGAAAATAGGCGTATATAATATTATGATGTTGAAAGATCAGCAGCATTTCAGTTTTTTCAAAACTTATTTTATTCGATTAATATCGAACTGTTCTTAAATTTATTTCAAACAGTTATGAATATTTGGAAAAAGGAAATAAGAAAAGGATATGGTTTTTAGTTACACTCGTCAATTCCGATTGCATAAAAAGGATGCAGTAAATCCATAACAATGTACATGTCGCGATGAAAAGAAAGAAACACAGCATTTCGTTTTTTTCTGTCGGTACGACCTACATGACCTGACGTCGAAATTGTTTCCATCGACTAGAGAAGAATGGATTTACAGGCTTCCAGGGGTAGAATACTTTCCCTCGCGTCTCGATTTCTTTTGAGATACATTGTTATATAATTTCTCCCGACACAATTATTGAGACTCAATTTAAAAGAAAAGGGAGAAGGTAGAAAAACATAAAAATAACTAAATCATTTAATGTTAAAACATGATATATCTCTTTCTCTCTCTCTTTCTCTGTCTCTCTCTCTCTCTCTCTCTCTCTCTTTCTCTCTCAATCCTTTCGTCCTTGAGAGACTAGTGACTGTAGTACTTTAAACTGTCTATACTTTGAAATCTCTCTGGATTCTCTGAAATCTACCTGGAATTTACTTCGAATTTCCATTTCTGAATAAAAAAAAGTTTTATTCAAAAATGGAAATTCTAAGTAGATTTTAAATAGATTTAAAGCAAATCTAAAGTACTTATTTATTTTCAATTTTGATTTAAAATTTTTATCTCTGAATATAAAAGATTTATTCGAGAATAAAAATCCTAAGTACATTCCAAGCAGATTTAAAATATACTAAGGAAATTTACTGAAAATGCTGTTGTTTTCTTATTTTTAACTTTATGAAGTTTTAAGAGTAGATTCCACGTGCAATTATTTTTAATATACGAGGGTTATTCGATAAGTGCATATAAAAATTACATAAAAAATTTGTTCTAAAAGTATGAAAAAGAGTAATAACTTAATAAAAAGAGTAATGCAGTCATAACTTCTTTGTGACATTTATTTTCTCGCCATAACCATTGAGATGAGTCACTTATTCTAACGTTTCACAAGTTTGAAAATTTTTTCAAGCTACATTTTCTGTCCAAGATTTATAAAGTATTTCGAAACTATAGTGCTTAGTTCATCGTTCACGAATTTTTTACACGAGAATTTTTTGCCCGCTAAAAAAGGCTGAAAAGATGGAAGCGAGGTTGGAATTATACGATGAGTGTCGTAAAACTTTATGACAGTAGACTTATACCGTAAAAGAATCTTTAAACTTACGAAACACAGTGTAAAAATACTTTACACTTAATAATTTTTACGGCGATTATGTTAAAATATTATTAGAAAAGTAGTATTGACATGTTTTTTAAAGTGAATGTCTCTGGTGTAATTCGGAAATGTGTTTTATCAGACGTCCGTCGTATAAATTATTTATAAAAATTAATGAAAGTGCGAAAGATAAATTTTATTCCCGTATTGCGATTTAATTTTGAATGCGATAGCACCCTCGGCCGCGCGTTTATATTGTTGGTCGATGCAAAATCAAACTATGTGTCTCGTAATAGTGCATTAGCTGTAGCAGCTAAGAATAGAACGACGACCACCGGTTAAGGTCAACCTTCTCTCTCTCTTCCTATGTGAATGGTTAGAGTTCTTTACACATCGGGACAGGGTCTCATTGACCGTTGTCGTTCAATTCCTTTGAAACTTTCATTCGCGTTTCTCTTTCTCTAACGATAGCCGGCACAACGTAACTCCTACAAATCGATACTTGATTTCTTTTGCCTACTTTTTATGCAATAGCCTGCGCTTTTATTTATTCAAGATAATTTCCCATGCGGCGTGTTCTGCATCAAATCGATAAACTATAATCGATAATAATATGAGGTGAGATAATATCCTAGATAACGATTGAAAATGATAAGTTTGTTTCAAAAATTATGTTTACTTACGCAAATAGTAAGCAACACGTGAAATTAATAAGAAGATAAGATAGATAAAATATTAGAAATAATTCTATAAAAAAATATTGAATATTGATATTATAAAATATAAAAGCAATAAAAAGTCTATCTAAAATTAGCCGATCAAAATTAATTCACGTTCCTGTTACACCGACAGATTCAATTTGTCTCCAGAAAAATGTTCACGTAGCGCGAGCCCAAGTAGTGACAGTCTGAGACGTGTCAGACGGTAAATAGAATCGAAAAAGGCTTGGATGGCAAGAGCGGAAAAGTAGGTCAAGGATTTTAGCCTCGCAATGAGGCCAGACGACGAGAGAAAGGGAGAAATAGAGTATTGGTTTGTATTATTCGGCAAAATAATGGGAACGGAGATCCGATTCGAGTACAGGAAAATTGATAGCCGTGTAGAGTAGATATACTAGTGGAATTGCGCGACGCGAAATCAATTTCATTGTTTTTCTGATAGAGAGGAAGAGAGAGAGAGAGAGAGAGAAAGTTTGCAGAACCGTCTATGGTGTAATGACAACGAGCAAATAATTGAAAGCTGCAAATTGCCTTGCTTCTTCGTTGCGTTTACTTTTTAGTACATTCTCCGCGTATGATTTATTGCACCCCTTGTGATATAATAATGTATTATTATTATTATTCGAATTTACGTTTTTTTATCAAATCAATCAATTCTATACAATTAATTGATAACATTATTTATAATATAGAACGCAGAAAATATCTATAATGTATGTAATTTTAATATTTTTGTGAATATGATATAAAATATTTTAAAAAATATTATTTTTTAGGACTTTTTGATGTGTTATGCAGAAAGAGAAGATATATCATTAAAGCAAATGATAGAAATCATAGATCGTATTATGAAGCCTTACAATGAATCGCATTATTCTTTGATCTTATATAAAAAAATTAATTTTTATCGTAAAATGTCTGAAGCTTATCAAAGTTAATGTTTAATACAAGATGGATAAATATCCTCTGACATGAAACATCGCGATTAGGGATCGTCGCGATTCACTTTGATACGGATCACTCGAAAGATCAAAGAGATCGCGAGAGTGCCATAAGATTTGGAACATTGAATATATGGAACTAAAAAGTTCCAGCTAGAAAGTTATTAAAACCGAATATATGTCATCTTCACCTCTCATTACCTCAATAGCTTCTAAATCGATTTGGGTTATCACGAAACATTTGTTTTTTTTTCTTTTCTTAGCTCTCTCGCAGTATGTCGAGAAAATAAAACACCACTGTGAGTGTTTTTTGCGATTACATTCTAACTAGAAGTATACTTTGGTAACATTGTTATTATCATCGTATTATTTTTCGGAAAAAAGTATATTATTATTTTACAACCTGGAAATTGATGGAATGCATATTTCAAGATATAATATTTCAAGATATAATATTGGTAAACACTTTTATCAAGGCATTTGAAAAATAGGAATCATTATTTATTAAAATTATCTGCAATAATTATCAATTTAATTAAAAGAAAACAAAAAATAAATGGTAAGAGAAGAAAAATAAAACAAGAATGTTAATATTCCGCGTTGATTTCATTTTCCACTCAATATTCCAATATCAAATATCAATATAAAACGTTTGCAATGGACATAACTGTGTTTATATATTTTTTCGAAATCCTGTGCAATATAATGTGTCTCATAAAATAACAACGCAACCATCCATATCCATTAAATACGATGAACGATGAAAGTTTATCGCGTGCTAAAAGCCCGTAATAAAAGTTCTAAAAATTGGAAATAATAACCAATCGGAAAAGCACCAAATTTATATTTTCCGCTTTATGTATGTATCTTTTGCTTAATATAATATAAAATACACGCATATACACATATTGAAAATTGAAATTAAATAAGTGTTATATTAAACATGTAAAGAGATATTCTTGTTTTGAAACTATTTTGCTTTGAATATCAGCCCTTGGATGTGCTGTAAAGTCTGTGCAACCCTTTTGTCACAAAGTCCTGACGTTTTATTCATGCCGTACTAAAAGGTAAAATTTAAAAATGGCTGACTTTTGGTCTTTCACTATCGTCGTCGGCCCATTGTGACATGTCGTCGTGCCACCGCGTTATATTTCGAGGAGGCACTTGACATACACCTCGAACCAACCCTGCTTCGAGGTGGTTGCACACAACCCTCAAGCTTTCTCGCTGCAAATCTCCAGAGATCGCGGCGGCACACACTACTTTTCCTTATCGATCGCGACTCTGTGTATAATCGTTCGACCGACCAGTCGATCGACTCTCACCTCTTTTCCGCGTTACTGCACCCTCAGGAATTTCAGAGCGACATGGCGCAATATCTCGCTGCTATTCCTCTTTTGTTCGTATGTCGTTCGATAATAATTGTCAGATGGACAGTTTTTTCGAGGTCAACCTCGATTGACGCGCGTATTCCCTACGAAACTTTTAGTCACTATGTATACGTGATGCGAAGATTGCAAATAATTCCGGAAGTAGATATAATATCGTAAATTACAAATGATTGCTTTACATCATCATGCGCAATCATCCATTTATTAGAATCACAATTTATAGATCTACATACAGAATACCTAATTCAGTGATTATAAAAATCTCTGGTGATTCTTTAAAATTATAAGCTATATTGATTATACAAACTTCTCAAACATGTTTTCGTACAATTATTTGTAATTTTATAAAATAATCAATAATTTTATAAAATCAAAATCACGAATTCGGGAAAAAGAATGTATTGTGTCCATTTTTAGTAATTCGAGATTCTATAAAAACACTAATAAATGTGTTTAATTTGAAATTGTTATTACATTTATCAAATAATTCTAAGAATTCATACATTTATAACATCTGTTCTTTTTATTTCACATTGTTATTTCTTTGTATTTTTATCACTTTACTTTTATCAATTTATTAATACTTTTCTGCTATTTGTAATTCAGTTTATTTCGCATTTCCTGATTGAGAAAGTTGCAAACAGGTCTGATGAAATTGCTCTATATGGCAATTAGCAAAGATAGCAACTAGTGTACACATTATCTTTCTTGCCTACGCCTCGTGTTGTTTGGACAAAAACGGGACGAAATGAAGATGCGTTCTATATGCACTGCATCACTCGCGCGCAGTTCTATTTACGCTCCGTGAAATTAATTATCGAGTTTCAAGACTATTCTCGCCCAGAACGTGTCGTTCGCTAAGATGCTTCGCTGAACGAAATTTTCCTCCCGATGATTCGACGAATCTTCTATCGAATTTAAAGCAAATTGAAATACGTATTATTTTTTTTTCCTTTTTTAACATTGATAGTACAAAAAGTTCAAAAAGTAAGAGAATATGTATTTTTTACTAAATTACAAGTAATTGATACAGCATAATAATAATAATTAATTTTGTAAAAATTTGTAAAATTGTTGTTGATTATTGTAAAATTTTGTAAAAATAAGGTCAAAAGAAGTAATTATAACACAAATTCAAACGGACGTGCGTGCGTTACGACGTTGTATGTTTGAGAGATCTTTCAATGCGATAGTGCAATGTCATACAAACAATTTACTCTATCTACGTTTTATCTACATAATTAAATGGGCAGTGTGAACGTAGAAAATAATTACCGCTAATTACCGTGACAGATTGCGCGCAGCTTATGTCTTACATGGCACTGATTAGAAAAATAATATTTTTACAACTTGCAATTTTAATCATTAAACAAGTATTAAGAATTATTTTTTAAATTATGAGTTTGATTAGTACTAGGAAATTTCAAATGGTCGAGCAGTTTGAACAATCCGGATCTTTTAAGGCAAACATCAAATAGGATATTTTGATCTTTTTTATTTATTAATTATACGGAAAATAAAAAAATAAAGAAAGAATATAAGAGAATATATGGAACTTAATAAAAGAATACAAAATATAGAAAGAGATGAAAATAATAGTATGCTTGTGATATTTTTCGATATTGTATCAATAAAATAAAAGGATAGATACCGTTTTATATAAACTTGAAGAGATAATATTGAATGTACGTTACCAAAGGAAGAAGGGAAGCCAGCAAGCCAGAAACGCCGTCATAATGATACCAAGCGTCCTGGCCGCTTTCCTCTCTCTTTTCATTTTGCTGCTGCTGGTTATTGGTGGCTCCTCCGGCTGTGGATCGGGTGACGATTGGTCCACAGTCGGCAAAGAAGTCAGACCAGCCGAGATTCCGTTGATTTGCAGATGTTTATTTAACAGAGCAGCGGCCACTTTGCTTCTAAAATATAAAAGATCAATGATAGTATTGAATGATAGAATATAATATTTATCATGTTTTATCATGTAATGTGCTTCATATCATAATCATTTTCTGTGTTTTCTTTCTTAATGTTTTTTCTATTTTATTAATAACATCAGAGAAATTAAATATAAATATTTTTTTATCATTTAGAGAGAAGTTTAGGAAATAGATTTTTTAATATTGGCTTTTTTGCTCTCACAATAAGCTAAAGTTACAAAATATTGAATAATCTCTTGCGAACCTATGAAAATGCGCAGCAAAAATATACGAGCAAACAAGAATACAAATAGAGTATATATTTGTTTTTATACGTCGTAATAAAATAACATATAACGTAAAAACTTGTGCGTCGTATATATCCACTAGCGCGAGCGACAAATATTGCATTCGTTATTTAATTGGGTTGTCTAGCATGCGCACGATTTAACAACGTCTGCTTCATTGCTTTTACATTTGATTCAGAGGCAAACGCAATTTCGAATTAAACTCGCGCTCGCGAAAACTGATATCGTAAGGCAAATACAAAACAAGCAAACTTCAATTGTATCCATAAATATGTCTGATCATTTATATTATTATTTAAATTATTCTTTTTAATATTTTGTTTATATTTCAAATATAATGTTTTATTTATTTTAACTTTTTTATTATTTAGTTCAACAGTGTCAAAAGCGCTATCATTATAATTATTTTCAAATGATAATTCTTTGAAGTACTTTGTAAAAAGGAAGACAATTGCATTTATAATAGGAATTTGCATTTTTATTAAGAATTCCGTGAATGTCAGGAGCGCAATTACAAATAAAATCCGAGAATATTAAAGTTTTCGTATTTCAAATTAGTAATTAGCATGTTAAAATAAATAAGTAGTTTATAAATAAGTAGTTTCCTTCATTACTGAAGGCAAACGCAATTAAACTTGGGTAGTTCGCCGGCATACCTCGTTATCCATCAGCGCGGAAATCCGGGTACCAAGTGTAGACATTAATATCTTCAATTTTCAGCACGTACTATATTATAAATATAATATATATATATATATATATATATATATATTTGCATTATAGATGCTCAAATCAATATCCTCAAATCTGCTTCAATATGTTATAATTAAAAAAAATTATAAGAAATAGCCTTTTACTTTACAGTTATAATATGCATTTTCTACAACTGTAATTTTTATCTTTCATAATATTTATGAAACGGATCACAAAGTTTCAAAGTATTCGTTCGATATGCATATAAATTATATTATTTTTATTTAGATATGACTATTGTGTTATCATATTATTATTATTTGATAATTATATTATCAAATTATTACGGAAAAGCGAATTTGATTATTGTTACTGAAAACAATTGTATTCTCCAATCGCAGCATAAAAGATAAGTTGGAATTTCGCATCATTATATTATTTACTAAAAAAATAAACTGAAATTTTGATCTTGCAACTCGATAAATTGTTCGGACAAGCTAGTTCAATTAAAAAGTTCGAGACATGGACCGAGTGGAGTTTCTATATTACTTCGAGCTTCGGCAACCACGGCTTTTAACAAAAAAAAGTATCGCATGAAGCTCTTGTTTCAGCTTCGAATGTGAGTTCGAAGTTACACTCATACTCGTTACAAGCGCAAACTTGAAAGATTCTTTTCGACTAAGCTTTTTTTACAAACATTCACTACAACACTGAGAAAAACGTGGAAAGGTTCAGTTGAGGCTAAACTGGATATTACGCGGGTATCGAGAGAAATTTTTGGAAGTTTGGAAATTTTTAAGATTCGCGGAATTAAACGATACTCCATGGCATTTTCGTTGTCATTTTATTGAGGTTGCTAAATTTTTTATCTTTACATTAAAATATATCAATTTCATAAGGTTCTCTTACTCAAAGTAAATCAAGTGGGTCTTTATTTTATCGTATTCCTATTTTTATTTTCTCTTTTTATTTCAATTTTAATTTTCTAACATTAATTTTACAAGCGTTGCTAGATTCTAATTTTAGGATTTAATTAATTTTAGAGTTTTGTCGGGCTATAATCAGATACGATCGATAAATAAACTCCGCGATCTCGTTGAAACTACGCACAGGGCACATTCATCTTCGTTAATGCGAAACTTGCCACTGCATTAAGCTCTATCTAGACTATGCATTTAGCCGCTGCATAGTTATACATTTTAGCGCAGTGTTTTGCTGCGATACGGTAGTCCGATTGTAATTTGCACGAAATAAGGTCGCCAGTAGCAACGACACTGATAAAATATCGTTCGAACGATTACGACGACGGGATCATTTATCGTCCGTCCGTTTTATGCAGCTATGCTAAGTGAATGTTCAAAAAACAGCCTGTGAATGCGTTTTAATATCAGATCGTAAAACTGATGCAACCCTCTCGGTGAAAAGCTGATCATAAAAATCTGTTTAACTTTTATAACTAAATATTGATTTTTCCTTTATCATTAATTTTGTAGAATATTATCTATATGTACAATATAATAATAACGTTTGTTATCAAAATTATTACAAATAAATAAATCAAGTTGTAATGTTATAAATGTTATAAATCCTTCAAATTTTCAAATCTCATTTTTGTTTTTAAAGAAAAGGAAACAATTTTTTTATATTTTATATTGATTAAAGTAATGTTGTAATTTTGAAATCTTGGAAAAACGGTCACAATTTGGTCGACGATTCTTGTTGCAACTTTTTGTTGACGATAAAAATCTATTCACAATTCTTAGACGGTTTCTGAAACGACAGAGGAATTTATATACGCATAATTTCCGCAACAATGAATAATGGGCGAGACATCGTTTTCTTGATAGGAAGGGAATAGAATACATGTATGTATACTCTGCACGTATACACAAGCGATAGAATGGAAAATCGGTCGGTCGGTCGTAAAGGCGGAACAGGCTTATACGAAGCAAGAATATGAAACGAAGAATGTAGTCGCGAAAAACCAAAAATCATTCGTAAAAGACGCTCGATGGCGTGATTTAAAAATACAAGCTTTTCTATATATAAAATATATATTTTTAATTGATTACGTAGTTTTCGAAGAAAGTCATTCTATTCAACTATTCAGCTTTGAGAAATTATAAAAAATACATTGAACAATTTTAACACACTGAATATTTCCGATTCATCAAAAATACGCGTGAATTCTCGGAGATCTCATTTCGTCAGGAAAGCTTACATTCGAGATGATTCGATGAGCTGTAAGCTCACACAGTAGACAAGTTAGAGTGGAAGCTTTCTTCAATTTTCTCTACTTTGATTGAACTCGATCTCACTTTGCGTTCGCGTAATTTTTCGCAGATTAGGTTATGAGTTTCCTTTGGTACGACTCTCTTTCGTAAAAACAAGATTCAATCAAGTTGTTCGTTTTTCTTAGTATCATTAAAGATTTATGACAAATTTGATCTACGCTACAAAAAAGTCATTAAATAAAAATTATGATACATTTGACGAGTTCTTAACTACAACTTTATTAGAATATAAATAATAAAGGAAAAATAAGAATTAATTACTTATTCTTCTTTTTTCAATTCTATTTTTTTAATGAATTTTTTCCTGAACATTTATTAATTATTAATTTTTTAATTCTATTTTTTAACAAGAAAATTTATGAAATTAATTCTTATAAATTTTATATAATATAATATTATTTTTTATCACCCTGTAAATACATCGCGTTGATATTTTAGCCAATCCTCAGAGCGGTTTGGTGATGTTTTGAGATTTTGCTCTTTCAAAGCAAAGAGCTTATGCCGATTTAAACAAATGCGCCACAAACTCTCCTCGCTTCCTTTCAAACACACCCATCACAGTCTATTCCACGTGCGCTATTTGCAATTCTTTTCAACAAATCTTTACGGCGTGCGCGTCCTACTTTCGGCAGCCTCTAGCACACATCTCGACAAAATCCCACACACATACAAACACGGCAGCTTGACATTATCCCGAGGACTTTAGGCTAAGATGGCGAAGTAGGCCACGTAGAAATCTCGTACGACATGTTCAAACCACTTTATAATACAATTGTAGTGTGTTCTCAAATGTAATAAATAGACTGGCCATGTTTTTCTTTTAAATTCATTAATATCTCATTTATCACTATATTAATATATGTGTGTGATATTTTATAAATAAAATATTAAATTAATTTTATTACATCAATCAATGCGCAACATGCTTAAAATTTGATACAAACTCTCTCAGTACTATCTATTGTTGTTACAATATGTATGAAATGTGTGCTGAATAGTCTAGTTATATCCTTGGTAGTAGAGAGGCTTAGTGTAGTGATAATTATCACTTATTAAAGCGCGCGCTAACGAACACTCTTCGTGACGTCGTGACCGCAATCTTCCGTTGCTATTAGCAGCGACCGCGCGTAATTGAACTACGATAATCACTCGACGCACAATCGAGTTTGAGATCATTCACTATTAAAGTTCATCATTCATAGTTAATAAAGTAGCACCATCTGCCGATAATCATGATTGCTAATCTGAATTCTGAGAGGAGAAGTTCAAAATATCGAATAGTGTGAAGGATCAGGTCTTCATTATTGAATACAATAACAAATATATATATATATTAAAAACCAATATACAACATAAGATAAATATTAACATAAAATAAATACATAAAAGCAAAAAAGTATCAACAGAAAATAATTAAAATTATTATTTGTACGTATCCATCATTATCGTTGCTAGTTATTGGTAAAGTAATGCTTATTTCCATTTTTCACAAACGCGTCTGCTGGGAGTCATTGAGGAAACAGTAGTCATCGACGAATGTTTCCCCGACGACGGAGAGGCGGATACTGCGCGAGCTTGGAAATTACCGAGCGACATCGGAATTGCTAAAGCGATTTTGCTACCAATTCCGAGGCGAGGAAGAGCACGAGTTACCATATGTGTGTGTGTGTGTGTGTGTGTGTGTGTGTGTGTGTGTGTGTGTGTG